AGGACTGTCTTCTGTGGGAGGGACATCACACTGGAGCAGGGGAAGAGTGTGAGGAGTGCTCCTCCTGAGGAGGAAGGAGTGGAAGGGACAATCTGTAATGAGCTGACTGTAATCCCCATTCCTTAACCCCCTGCACCGCTCGGGGAAGAAAGCAGAGAAAATTGAGAGTAAAATTAAGCTCAGGAAGAAGGGAGAGGTGGGGGGAAGGTGTTTTAAGATTTGGTTTTATTTCTTATTACTCTCCTCTGATTTGACTGGAAAGAAATCAAACTAATTTCCCAAAGCTGAGTCTGTTTTGCCTGTGACAGTAATTGCTGAGTGATCTCCCTGTCCTTATCTCAACCGACGAACCTGTTGTTACATCTTCTCTCCCCTGCCCAGAGGAGTGAGAGAGCAGCTTTGGTGGGCACCTCACATCCAGCCAGGATCAACTCACCACAAAGTGTTGCAAAAAGAAAACCAAACGGACTGCCAGTAGCAATATGGTTGTGAAATCTGCAGCACTGGAACTGCCAATCCTAAACTAAGGAGCAGATAAAATCCTGGACTCGATTATCTTCTCCCTTTGATTTTTCACTGTCACTCCACTGACTTTAGAAGAATTCAACTTTTCCCTGAAGTGCACCAGCGTAAGGAAGAAAAGAAACAGCTGTGAAAAGTTTAATGTTTTAAAATACTGTCTGCTTCAGGCTATTTTCAATGCTCTGACAGTTCAGTTTTAGTAAAGTCTGTCACTTGATTAAAAAGAAGTTATTTTGCCACTGATTTAACCACACAAAGTGTTATTGAAAGATTTCTTGGTCTGCAGTAATATTTTACAAATTGCCAAGTGCATCATTATCCCCTTTAATACAGTCCAAACCGAACCGAATGAAGCGGCTGCCAACCCTTCGCTCCATCAGCAAGAACTTCCTACCACGTAGCTGTGGCTGGAGCACTCTGGCTTTGCAACTCTTGATAAACAGCAAGCATGGATAAAACACTGCTGCTTCGCTCCTCATGCAAAGCCAGAAGGATGAGACTCTGCAGGGGACAAGCACAAACGCCAGACAATCATCCCACAGCCAGAACTGGTTGTAGAGCTTCGGGGAAACGGGAATTCAGAGCAAGAGGCCATGCTGTGACATCCTGCACAGCTTCTGCGTGTGTGGGACAGTCCCAGGGCTCTCTCGTAAGCCCTAGGCTGTGCAAAGGATATGGGTAGTAACAACCCTCCTTTCACTCCTTCTGCCCCCAGGAGTTTGCCTGTAATACAGACAAAAGTCACTATGCCTGCCCTGCTGTGTGTATCCTCATCTGAGATCCAAGAAAAGTACACGATGCTCTAGAAGGAAACTATTTTGTTAGTTATTTTGTTAGAAAAGTACATAATTTTGGATAACACACAGTTTTGGAATGGAGATCTCTACAAAAAATACAGTGTAATATAAAAAAGGGCAAGAGAAACTGTATCCTGTTTGTAGTGCTGGCATCATTCACTGTGCGACTTCTGGCAATTGGCTTCTGGATAGAGTTGAGAATATATTGGAATTTTGAGTTAACTGATCAAACAAAATGAGTCTAAAGGTATTTCCATTTCAGGGCAACCAAAATGCAGATTTCTCAATTAACTCATCAAATTGGAAACCCAGAGCATTGGAAAGTGCTGCTTTGGAGATTTTTAGGCTTTCCTGAGCCTTGAAAAAGCGGCCGTTTTAAAATGGAAATGTCTTTTCAAAATGAAAGATTAAAAGATGCTGATTTTTCCTCTCTCCTCTCCTCATTCTTGATTTACATAGTCTTGATAATTTGATCCATATTAACAATTCAACAAAAAAGCCTGCTTACCAATCTGTCTTTTCAATGAGGTCAGTAGGAGTTTACCATCTACTTCAATGGTCAAAACTTCTAAAAGCACTTTGAAATTCTTGCCTTAACCTTCCTGTGTCTCAGATTTGTGGAAACAAGAGTCTATAATATGCCTCCACTTTTTGGCATGGTCACTCTGTCATGGTGGACCAAATAATTTCAGACAGCCATCTGTCAATAACAATATTGTTTTAATGGATTAAATTCTGTCCTGACTCATTCAACCAAGTTCAAGTAGAGGCAGTTTGGCAGAAAACAAGTCAGTGCCGAATTTGGTCCAGCTCTTTAAAGTTCTTTGAAGTCCCAGATGAAAGAAGTGAGTAATAAATGTGGCCCTTGAAACTAAAAGAAGAATGAGGCATCCTCATTCCGGAAGGAAAATGAGCTTAAACTCATCATTAATCAACACCAAAAAAGTAGGAATAAAAGCTAAGCCACAAAGACGTAATCAATCTGTCAGATGCTACACGACAGATGCATTGAAAAACAGCAACAGTAAAGACTCAAAGAAATGTTATCTTGATCTTTATATTTCAACGGGCATTTTAAGCAGATTTTTTCTTCCATTTTATATTCACTACTCTAATGCCCAGAGAACAGAAACTTTAATTACTGTTGCATGCTGAAGGCTGGCCAGTAATTATATATCTTTATCTTCATTAGATAAGATGTCTGTGAATAAGGTTTGGTCTGAAACAGAGCAGGTAAACTGATAACTCGGAGACACATTTTCAATTAAGAGCTGACTTTAACCTGGCTGCTCATTTTGGTGCTGCTGAAACCTGCCTTCCTGCTGCGGAGGAGGGAGCTCTGGTGGGATGTTTGCAGAAGCCCAGGATGTCTGGATCTCTGATGAGCGATTTCCTGTTTTAATACAGGGCCTACCAATAGCATCGTTGTGCAATGGTGTATATATGAATAATATTAAGCACACAAGCCTTTATGGGTACATTCATGTACTAACAATTAACGAGAGGTATACACTTAAGCAGTACTACCACTTTAACCCCTTTGCCAGGGTTAGAGCTGAGCATATTGTACACTAGAAACTGTTGCAGATTTATATCGGACAAAACCATTTCGCAAATATCCAAAGAACATGCCAAATCATTCGAATGAACTAAAACTTTGGGAAAAAACCCTGATTTTAACAGTATCTTCCAAATGATATAACTGCTTTCAAATTTTCTTTTTTTTTCCAGTTCTCTGAAAAAACTGAAAAGTTAGTTAATGAGTAAGTTAGTGAGTGGAGACTTAGTCCATTAACTTCCACAACACAAGACAAGGACCCTAAATAATTTATTTCTATTTATAAACTTAGATTTAGTCCCACAGTTTGCTGTATTTAACAGATTTACCATATTCAAAGGCGCTTCAAAATGTCTCTATTAAGATCGCCAGAAAGACACATTTAATTAGAAAATGCCAGCATGGTGGCTATTCAGATAAATAGACACCCTGAGCAGATTCTAAAACGGAAACATAAAAAATGCTGGACTTTTAAATTTCTTGAGTTCATCTTGTGTATAAGAAATTATAATGGAGAAATTACTTAAACCAAGTCTAATGAGTGTAAACATTGCCATTTTTGACACACACAAAAAATCTGTTTAGCAACAGCTCAACAAAGATCTTTTAAACCTATACACCTATACCCAGCTCTCTTCTTCAATTACTCTGACTCCAAGTTGTCACTCCCTCTGTGACATGAAGTTACTAAACTTGTAGGTGGTCTCAAACTCCCAACAGTTTCCCATATGACAGTAATGACCAAGTACCTGCACCCATCTTTGCCCATAAAGGCAAAAACTGTCCACTAGCAGGAGTCTTTTTCAGCTAATGGGGCCCAGGAAGGTTTGCTTTGGAGCTAAACATCACCCTCAGTGGTTTGAATCCAAATTAAAACGAACTAACACACCAGGGAGAAAGCTTAGCATTCCAGTCAGCTTTAGGCTAAGGCAAATTTCACAAAGGCCAAGTCCTCAATATGGTGCAGTTCACAAAAGTTAATGGGATAACAGTGATTTCCAGCAGCTGGAGGGGTGGCCTGTAGTATTTGTAATCATTTTGAGACATGCTGGTTATGCTAAAAAAATTCAATTTTAACTTTTATTTGTTGCCATGTCTCTCATTTCCTCTTCTCCAGTGATGGCCACAGATAAGTGTGTGAAAAGATGAATGCTGCTGTAGACAAGGCAACATTTCTGTCACCATGCTGGAATACTTTCCACCATATCTCCCCCACAATCACCACTGCTGACCGTGTCCTTCCGTTAACATGTGTTAATCATTAACCAAGCTGAGTAGGTTGTAAGAACTTCTTACAAGCTTTTGGTAGGAGTATTGGTACAAGCTGAAAGCCTTCAAGAAGCAGCAATTTTCCTGACGGTCTAGTCTGACCCTAAG